CTATATAGTTTTTGATGGTTATATACCTAATATTAGATACATATACATACATACATATATATATATATATATATATATATATATATATATATATATATAGGGAAAATGTCACTATAGCCCCACTAACTTACAAGTTTTAGTTTAAAAGATCCCTTATTTTATTTTTCAGCTTTAGAAGGGCATAGACTAACATTGAACCGGCTAATTAGGCCATTTTTTATAATGTGAAGGGGTCACCCGGTGACCCCAATCCCAATCAGCATTATTTCTTGGGCATGTCATTAAAAGCAAGCCAGGTCATTAAACTAAAGCATATGCCACGTGTTAGTGTATCGATAAATGACACCAACCCTTCCTCTCTAAGTAATTTTCGTCTTTAATCGGTTTCATCTACCAATATCTCCTTTTTTCTTCTACTGTTCATCCGAAAATCAAAGCTGGATTTTTTTTATGGTCGTCTACATGAAGATAGATCTTCATTTTGCTAGTTTGTTTACGAGGTATCTAGTGATCAGTTACTCAGATGGAGTGGAGCAAATGTTTGAGGATGTAGATTTTGCTGGAATGGACAAAAATGAATTTCTAGTGTTCATTCAGAGATTCGCAAACGAGACATGTGTTGATGTGTACTTTTGCATGCCCGATATTGAGTTCCCTGAAGGACCGAGGATAATAGCAACTGAGAAAGACTACCAGGAGTTTATTGAAGTAGGGTATGATTATGGTTGTGTAATTTCTGTGTACATGGATCATCTTGGTGTCCATGTTCATCAATGGATTGTTGATGAGATGGCTGAAGTATGCACCCCCGAGGACACGTTTTCTGGTGTAGGTGAAGTAGTAGAAGAGTTGCATGTTGAGACAAAGGAGGCATTGACCTAGATGAAATACAAGTGCAAGGTGATTTGGACGATAACATTGAAGATGGAGATTGCATCCTCATGATCAAGACCTTGAATGATGTGTTTTTGAACAAGCTCTGCCCCAAGGAGCAACCAACTCTAGACACTCCACCTAAAGAAGATCCATCTCATGAAGATCCATTTGATCAGATGGATGAACACGACCCAATTCATGAAGAGGTAACAGCTTTTAATGAAAATGTTCATTGGAAAAAACAAAAACCTGTGTTAGGAATGAGATTTGAAAATCCTAAAAAATTAAAACATATGTTGTGTAATTATGTTGTTGCTAAAGGATGTCAATTGTGCTACAAAAAAAATCATAATAGGAGGCTTTTAGTTAAATGTTGTTCACGACAATGCAAGTTTAGATTGTGGGCTTCATGGATGAGTGAGGAAAAATCTTTTCAGATTAAGTCTCTTATAGATGACCATAATTGTGCTAGAAATTTTAAAATGGGGTCAATTATAAGCTATGCATGGATTGGTAGCCATTTCACATCCAAATTTTTACAAAAACAAAAAATGAGTGTTAGGCTACTAAAGGAAGAAGTAAAACAAAAATTTGGAATTGATGTGAGTATGGGACAGTGTAGAAGAGAAAAGAAATATGCAATTGAACTTATTGAAGGTACACTAGTCGAGCATTATACCAAGCTTTGGTCATATGGTGAAGAGATAAGAAGATCCAATCCAGGATCGACTGTCAAATTGGATGTCAACAATATGCCTAATGGGAAGACATATTTTAGTAAGTTTTACATATGCTTTGAGGGGCTGAAACAAGGTTGGAAAGGAAGTTGTAGAAGAGTAATAAACCTAGATGGTTGTTTCTTAAAGGGATTATGTAGTGGAGAATTGATATGTGACATAGGAAGAGATGCTAACAATCATATTTTCCTAATAGCATGGACAGTTGTGTGTGTGGAAAATAAAGAAAATTGGAAATGGTTTTTGGAGATGATTTAGAAGTTGATGATGGTAGTGGTATCACCCTAATGTTAGATCAACATAAGGTAAATCACTTATTACACTTCATATTTCTTGTTAATAAATTTCCATTTTCTTAACATATGAATTTAAATTGTATAGGGGCTATTGGAGGTTGTGAAGGAAGTAATGCCTAATGTTGAACACAGACAGTGTGCAAGGTATATTGTTGCCAACTTTAGGAAAATGTTCAGTGGTGTGCATTATGAGAGGATGTTTTGGAAAGATTGGAAAGCATCAACCGAACCTTTATTCAATGCAGCAATGAAGGAAATACAAGTACTAAATTGTGCAGCATTTGACTACCTTATGGAAAAGAACCCAAAATCATGGTGTAGAGCTTTCTTTAGAGAGGGGAGGATGTGTGATGTAGTTGAAAATGGATTATCTGAAAGCTTCAACAATTTCATTAGAGATGCAAGGAAAAAACCAATAATCACAATGTTAGAAGAAATTAGGTTGTATGTTATGGAGTGGCAATTCAATCACACCATCAAAGGTTGTTCATGGCCTGATTATAAACCATGCCCAGCCATTACAATCATATTGAATCAGTTGAAAAGAGATCAAAGGTTTTTTCTTTTCTATTAATACTTTATTTAGTTTTTCCACTATACACCCTAACTTTTATACCATTGAATCAGGTATTGGCAGGTTTTACCTACTGGTTTAAACCAGTTTGAAACAAGGAATTTGGTAGAGTCTTACATTGTGGATGTAGATAAGAAGACTTGTTCATGTAGAGTGTGGCAACTAAATGGGTATGGATGTGTGCATTCAATTGCAAAAATCTCATACCTTAACAGTGATGTTGGTAATTATGTGGATCCAATGTACTATGGAGCAATTTATAAGAACATCTACAAGTATCCTATGTGTGGCATGAATGGTAGCAACATGTGGCCACCTACTGAATTCATTCCACCTTTGCCACCATTGAAAAGAAAAATGCCAAGTAGACCTAAAGTTAATAGAAGAAAGGATTCAAGTGAAAGGGGTGCTAGACATACTGTGTCAAAGGTTGGGAAAAAGATTATGTGTAGTGTATGCAAACAAGCAGGACATAACAAGGTTACATGTTCTAGATCTTAAAAGCCAACAAAACTAAAGGTAAGGAAAAGGAAGAGAACAAACGTTATTGATGGGGAGGGAAGCAGTGCTAAGAAGGCAAAAGGTATGACAGATGAGGAAGGGGTGAGGGGTAATAAGGGAATTAATGGGAAAGTTGGGGAAGGAAGCAGTGGTTAGAAGAAAAATGATGTTATAGATGATAAAGGGGGGAGGGGTAATAAGGGAAATAATGGAAAAGTTGGGGAAGAAAGCAGTGGTAAGAAGGAAAATGAAGTTATAGATGATAAATAGGGGAGGGGTAAAAAGGGCAGCAATGGTAATGTTGGGGAAAAAAGCAATGGTAGGAAGACAAAGGATGGTAAATATGATATAGGAGGGAGGGGTAAAAAGGTAATTTTCAAGACAAGAAAGAAGTCGGAAAGAATTTTGAAGAAAAAACTTGGTACACGGGTTGAGGGTAAAAATGGGGAAGGCCACACTATTGACAAGCCAATGGAACTAGAATAGGTTAAGTGTGGTCAATGTCGTTATGTAGTCAATCTGTTTATGACAACTGATTTCGGGTTAAGTGTTTTAATTTGATGTTTTGTACTCACTTTGGTCATGCTAAACAATGTTGGATTAAGTGTTTCAATTTTATGTTATGTACTCACTGTTGTGTTATGTTGTCACTTTGGTTATGCTAAACAATGTTGGATTAAGTGTTCAGATTATATGTTATGTACTATTTTTGTTTAATTTCAATCTAATATAAATTACTATGTTATGAACTCACTATGGTGTTATGTATGCAAAAGGTTTCAATGTCCTTATGATGGTGTGTTGTGTTTATGGACGTGCATGGTATTGGGGTCCATTATTTACATTAGTGATGGATATATATGGTCCCATTTACTCTAGGTGAACATGGCATTGGTGTTTATTATTGATATTAGTGATTGAAAGTCATTACAAGGATAATGTAAATAACCATAACAATTTCCCTGACAAGGACATAAAAAACTGCTACATACAAATTACAACTTGTACACAATTATGCTAAAGAAAATAATCCAACTTAGAACTAAAGACATCTTCAGTTTCCAAATCCTTGATTCAAGCTTCTTTTTTACCTAGCCAATCCTGCAATCATAACTGCTTCAGCACTCATATTCTTAGTGTCTGCTTCTTCTACCCAACAAATAAAACCATTATGAGGTCCCTAAAAAAATCAATTTAGAAGTTAGAAGTGTAGAATGCAAAGATAAAAACAAATAAATTAGGGCTACAGTGACCTGATAAAGAAATTTAAACAAACCTTAGTGGGGCAAGCATAGAATGGTCTTCCAGGGTTTGATGGAGTGGAAGACATTCTGATTATGGCCAAACATCCACACGAGCATTTCACCATTTTTGCTTTGTTATTTCCGAGATACTTCAAAATGCAAACAAGAACATGTACAAAGAAATGGGATGTACTGCAGAGTAAAGGAGGTAAAGTAATTATAAAGAGCAAATGACGAAAATACCCCAGCCGAGTAAGGAAGTAAGTTCTTAAAAATTGTAAATTCCGAAAATACCCCTTGATGAAATTACACCAATGTTTGACCTCATTAACATCTGTCACAGTTGGTGTACCAACAACAATTAAATTTCATTAATTAAGCCAACCAAGTGACCAAATCGTTAGTCTTAATCAAGAGCATTGATCCCAACAAATCAAAACGCATTCAAGGTCTTTACATTTCATCAAGATAATATCAAAATGCCTGTTACATGTTCCCAGGACTTCAAAAAACATCTGTAAACAACCACCACTAGATTACCACAAACATCATACACGATTACCACAAACACAAACGAACACACACAATCCTAATAACATATATTACAATAAAAACCTTAAACATAATAGACTATTACGACGAACACTAGATTATCATACCACTACTATTCACCTCCTTAAGAATCACTTGTTGACTATCAAGTGAATGATGAAAATCATTAGCAGGAGCATCACCACGACAAGACCCACAACCAACAACGCATAGCTTTAATCTACTTCTCAACCTTCTCGAACCTTTGCTGCATGTTAAGGACATCAACCGTGGAATGAAGGTAATCGCGACCCATCTCCTCCTTCATGCGCTCCACCTCACCTTTTTGCTTGGCTATTTTATCACCACAGTCGCAGAAAATTGTGTGCATATTGTTCAAGTATAGCCCGTCTCTTGAGTTAATCGAGTTGTTGGAGTTTATAGTATCTGGTGATGGTGGTGGGGTAGGCTCCATGGAAGACAATGAAATGGAACATGAGTATTCTATTTTCATTTGTCGGGTTGTGTTTGGCCGGAAGTGGTAACAAAGTCTTAGGGTTTTGTCCAAGAGACCATCCATTTATATAGTACGTGACCACCTAACCCTTAGTGCCCAAGTAAGTGAACTCGGTGGTGAGTCGATGACGTGTAAACTAACTTTTCTGAGTTGACTCAGTAGCTTACTTGGATGATGACATAGCAAGCAAACCGGTTGAATTGGGTCAAAATCCCAAATTAGCCGGTTAAATGTTAGTTTATGCCCTTCTAAAGCCAAAAAATAAAATAAGAGGCCTTTTAAACCAAAACTTGTAAGTTAGTGGGTACAGTGACATTTTCCTATATATATATATATATATATATATATATATATATATATATATATATATATATATATATATAAAGAATAAGAATTGCGGAATAATTATAAATATGAAAGGTATAAATGACTCAAAGTTATAATAATATAAATGACTGTATTTTAATAACATAAAGCTATAAATAATATAAGTGATTGTATTTTAATGACATAAAGATATAATAAAGTATATAAGTATATAAATATATATAAAGTTGGTTCGTCAATAAATTGACTAAACTAGATTGATGGAACGACTGGTTGATTATTGGACTCTTGGAACGACTGGTCGATATTTGGACTCTTGGAACGACTGGTGGTTGATATTTGGACTCTTGGAACGACTGGTAGATATTTGAACTCTTGGAACGACTGGTCGATATTTGAACTCTTGGATCTTAATAGACTTTGTTTCTATTTGTTCAAAGATCAATTCGGTGTTTGATAAGTAACAAAAAGTTCATTCAAAGCTCGATTTTATGTAAAACTACTTGTTTAAATAAAATTACAAAATACACGAGTTTATGTATTAATATTTTAGGTATTTTTCGGTAAAAACATGCACACGGGTCGTGTAAGATAAGACACAAGTAACACGGGTCGTGTAGGAAGGTTTACGATGGTTTTCTTTATGATGATCCTGAACATGGGCCATGTTGGACTTAGGCATGGATTAACACGGGTTGTGTTGAAGTACCAGAGGGAAATAGATGAGTACATGGGCCGTATCTGATTTTAGGCATGCTGAACACGGGTCGTGTTCACACAGAAATCAATTTTGGGATTTTTGTGGTTTGAAGATAAGGTTTGTTTGTGATGCTTTGGCTAAGGTAATGGTGTTATGGTGTTTTGAGGATATTTTCTAGGTTGTTTAGAGGTTGGAAGGAGGTTGATATAAGGTGGTGATGGTGATGAATTTTCTAAGAAGATGATGATGAGTAGTCATGGGTTTTGTTGTTGATCTTGATGCAGAAGGTTTTAGGGTGTTTCATGGATGTGTTTTGGTGTTTTGATGTAAGGGAAGTGTTTGGTGGTTTATGGTGTCATTAACAAAGATGGTGAAGATGAAGAACCTTGAGTTTCAATGAAGAAGATGAAGATGGTTGATGGTGTTCTTCATTTAGCTTGTTGTTGATCTTGGTGTTCTTCAATTCATTGTTGTTTGTTCTTGGTGTTCTTCACTTTCTCCAGGGATTTATCTTGTTCTTAAAGAAGATGAAGATGGTGACGCTTTTGGGATTATTTGGTGAGGTTGTAGGAAGTGTTACAAAAACAACAAATGAACACAAACTCACACACTACATACTCATGTATAAATATATGAGGTGAAACAAATTTCTAGTAGCACTTGAGTTGTTAGTGAAAGAGTAATGGCTGATGATGCAAGTTGTGGTAGAGGCTATGAGCAAAAACATGGGTCTTCATTTTCTACTTCATTTCCTTGACTTTTCCACTTTGTTGACTCTTCCACACCAACATATATATATATATATATATATATACACACACACACACACACATATAATACATACATATGTATATATATATATATATATATATATATATATATATATATCTATATATATATTGTTGAAACTGTTTAGTCGAAGGAAATAAATTTATATACATTATGAAAAGTAGGAGATTTGAACCTTCACTCCAATTGAGAATCAATATGACTTAAAATCTTCATCAAGCATAAGCATCTAAAAATTAAGTCAAGAGACGATTAATCACAAGGTTCTATAAAAGCTTGTTATCGCAATTCTTTTATTATATTTTTGAAGATTTGATTTTCGAAATGTTTTTGGAAATATTGGTTATTTGAATGTTCTTGGTATTTTTGAAAAGAAAGCAATTTTCAAATGTTTTTGAATTTTCTTTTTGAATGAAAGTAAACACAAATTTGTACAAGCAAAAAGTAAAAGTTTAAGGATGGATGTTATCTAGATTTAACATTCCTAGACGGCCTAGGAAGTATTAAAACTTTGTTTCATCGAGAGCCTTAGGGAAGACATCGGCAATTTGATCTTCGGAGTTGATGAAGTGCAATTCGATATGTCCCTCTTGAATATTGTCTTTGATAAAGTGATATCAAATGTTGATATGTTTTGTCATGGAATGGTGAACATGATTGTTAGAAATGGCAATTGCACAGGTTGAGTCAAAAAAATATGGGAATTTGTGAGATTTTGAAGCCATAGTCATGCAGGTAAGTTTGCATCTATATGACTTGTCAACAATAGCTGGCGGCAGTGACATATTTGGCTTCTGCTATTGATTTGGATACACAAGTCTATTTCTTTGAGTCGATGAAAGCGTTCAACTAAAAATCGGATTTAGCTAGATACCAAAGGCCAAGTTTGGGAGTGCCTTTAAAGTATTTGAAGATGCATTTCACAACAACTACATGGGATTCCATAGGATTTTCTTGGTATTTGGCACATACACATGTAGAAAACATGATGTCAACGGGTTTTCCATTTTAGTCTGCATCAAATTTGTATCCAAAAGCCATTGGGGTCTTTGCGATATTGGATTTGTCCATTGAAATGCGAGTGAGTAGATTTTTTAAATAATTCTCTTGGTTAATGAAAATGCCATCATTTGACTGTTTGATTTGAAGTTCAATAAAAGTATTCATCTCCCCAATCATGCTCATTTCAAATTTGCTCTTCATTAGATCTGCAAACAACACTTAAAGATTCATCAGTAGAACCGAAAATTATGTCATCAACATATATTTGTACAATTAACAGATGTTTATTAAAGATTTTACAAAATAGGGTTTGATCGATTCAACCTCTTTTAAAACCTGATTCTTCGAGAAAGGTTGACAACGTGGCATACCAGGCTCGGGATGCTTGTTTCAATCCATACACAACTTTTTGCAATTTAAAGCTGTGATCTGGAAATTTAGGATCTTGGAAACCTGGTGGTTGTTGGATGTATACTTCACGATCTATCTCTCCGTGTAGGAATGCACATTTAATGTCCATTTGGAATACTTTGAAGTTCTTATGTGCAACATATGCAAGAAAAATGTGAATTGCTTCAATTCTAGCAACTGGAGCATATGTTTCATCGTAGTCGATTCCTTCTTGTTGTGAATATCCTTTGACTACAAGACATGCCTTGTTTCGGCAAATGGTTCCTTGATCGTTAGTCTTGTTTTTGTATACCCATCTTGAACCTATAACAATAACATCGGGTGGAGTAGGAACAAGATTCCATACTTTGTTTCTTTCAAATTCTGCTAGCTCTCTTGCATAGCATTTACCCAGTCTGGATCTTTTATAGCAGAATGTATGGCTTTGGGTTCATTCATGGATAAGAAGGCTCCAAATAAACATTCATTTGTGGATGCAGCTTTAGTATAAATACATGAGTAGTGATCTCTGATGATTTGGTTTGTAGGATGATTTCTGGTCCACTTTATTAAGGGATTCTCTTCTGCTATAATAATTGGAGTTTCAATATCCCATTGTTTTCCTATGGGGGTTTCATATTGGAATAGGTTTGAAGATTCCACCATATTGGTGTTTGTTCCAAAGAGGAAGTATGTGCTGGTGGTTCCCCATCGAATTGATCTTCATCATTTTAGTTTGTTTGTGGAGTTCCTTTAGTGAGTGTTCCTATAGGATTAATTGAAGTAGTTAGAAGTTCATAATTGTAAGCGGTTTTTGGTTGTTCAAAAAGTAAATCAAGATCGATTTCAATGTCTATGTCAGGAGAAGGTGTTTGTTGAATTGGATTTTGAAAAATATTATCAATGATTTTAGAACCAAAATGTTCACGATCCAATTTCCTGATATAAAATTCATCGAAATGAACATCGGTACTTTCTTCAATTATTCTGGCACGTTTGTTCAGTACTCAATAAGCAGCTGAGGAAAACGAGTAACCAAGGAAAATTCCTTCGTCGGACCTTGATTAAAATTTTGAAAGGTGATCTTTATTGTTCTTTATGAAGCAATGACAACCAAAAATATGGAAAAATTTGATGTTTGGTTTTCGGTTGTTAATGACTTCATATGGTGTTTTATGAAGATATTTATGGATTAAGGAACGATTTTTAGTGTAGTAAGCTATGGCTATTGCTTCTGCCCAAAAGTATTGTGGCAGATCAGCGAAGATAAACATTCATCTTGCAGCTTCACATAGAGTTCGGTTCCTTCTTTCGACAACACCATTATGTGGAGTGTATGGGGCTGAGAAGTTATATTCAATTCCTTTTTATTTGAGAAATGAATCTAGAGTCTTGTTTTTAAACTCTAAACCATTATCACTTTGGATTCTTCGAACAGGTCGTTTGAGTGTGAGCTTGATTTGTTTGATGAAGTTGATCATCTCTTTAGGTGCTTTTGATTTTAGTCTTAAGAAAAAGACCCAAGTAAAGCACGAGAAAGCATCAACGAAAACGAGAATGTACTCATTCCCTTGTATGGTTTGGATTTTTGTAGGGCCACAAAGGTCTATATGCAACAATTCTAGTGGTTCGGATACACTTGATTCTAAGAAGCTTTTGTGAGTGGATTTGGAAAGTTTTCCTTTTCACATGCGGCATAAATAGTTTCGTTATCAAGCTTTAGAAGTGGTAGCTCTCGAACAAGATCATGCCGATCAATTTGTTGATGTGCCCAAGTTTAGATGGGAAAGGTGGCGGCACCATAACCAACTTATATGTGTTGGGGCTTTAAATAGCGGACATATATTGAGTTTAC